TTAAATCTGAAACTTACAATATCAATAAGCACTCGAAATAAATTTAAAAAATAAATGCTCTCATGTATACAAAAATTACTACTCAAAAATTAGTATTTTTTGCTTTCAAATATAGCTTGCAATTCAATTGCTAAATTGAATRAAAAAATGAAAGCCATAAAATATATATTTCCTTTTTATGCATAATTATACACACATTTATAATAATAATATCTTCTTATTTATTATTAAATTATCATGAATTGTTATTCATGTTATGGAATTTTTTGTAACAACTACCTACGCTTCTACATAATTATCAAGAAAAACTAATTATTTAATAATAGCCTCAGAAAAATTTTAGTTTTCACAATTGTTTTTGTTGCTCACTAACACTTTGGCGTTATCTTTGCAGTTGTGTTGTTGGTGCCGGCAATGGCAGCCAACTGTTTTGAATTGTACTAACCAAAAGTTAACTATTTACACTAATAAAAAAATACTGTTATTTTTTAATTTACTTAAAATAAGCAACATATGTACAGAGCATTCAATTTTTTTATAATTTTTTTTTTGTTTGTCTTGAAAATGGGAATTGACTAATGTACTATATTTGTATAATGAAAAACTTGAAAAAACTGATTATTGAAACAATAATCAAAATACATAATTAAAAAAAAAACAAATATATAAATGAAATACAATTTTGTTAGGCAGTAAATCTAAACCCTTATAATTTAATAGTCATCGAGTTGAATTTAATACACAAGCAAGTAGGTTATACCGTATTTTCTATCTCAGCTCGATTTTACGAGTCTTTATGATTTATATCAGTTGCTTGTTCGATTCGACACACTTCAAGCTTTAGCGGATCGATAACAACTCGCATGAACTTTATTCATTATCCGAGCAATATGAATTGGTAGGACGCTTGACTTGGAAAATTTGCAAGAGCCTAAAGAACACGTTAGCTGTCCTGGATAACGCCAAGCGCTGAAAAGTAGTGAGTCGAACAAACTATCTAGATGTGGAAAAAATAGACAGCAACTTAATAAACTAAATTGTCGGTTTTGTAAAGATGATAGGCCGTTTTTGAGACTCCTTTACATCCTCAAAAAGTCACTTTATGGTGAGCTCTGTGGGCAGAAGGAATCATTGGACCATTTTTTTTTTTTTTGTTTTCACAATGAAGTCGACCATAATGTTATAGTCAATGGAAATGCCTATAAAGCCACGATTAATAAGTTTTTCGACGTCTTTTGGCGCTACATGCCATACTTTAACSAAACAATAAATTTTGTGAAGAAAATTTTGAAATTTGTGTGATTAAAGTAGAACTACTTCTTTCAATATCCCTTTTCTGACAGATTACCTGTGTGTCGTGTCAAGCTGTCATGTTATTTTTAATTGTTCAACTTTATTACGACAACTCACGTTCTGTAAGGAGTGCGTTTCACGCGCTTCGCTCAASTTATGGTCAACATAATCTGCCTATGTTTGAAATACCATCACCAATCTTGAAACCCATCACTCATTACTGGATAATATTCCTCCGAATAGACCACGTCCAGCACGTAGTAAACAAAATATAACAGCCGTAGCTGAGAGAGTGTAAGAAGACCGTCGATTCGGCGCCGTTTGAAAGCGTACAAAATACGGCTTGTGCAAGAACTGTTTGGTTTTTTGAAAAGTTCCAAGAAGAACCGAATATCTTGAACCAAATTTTGTTTCAGCGATGAGCTGATTTCTGGCTCAAAGGGTATGTATACAAGCAAAATTGTCGCATTTGGGATTAAAGCAACTTGAAGAGATTCAAGAGCTGCCACGTAACCGCCAATGGCGACCATTTGTTGCCTGAAATTGTAGCTTGTGAGTTCGGCGACACTTGCTTTCAACAGGACGGCACCACTTCTCACACTTCGCATCAATCAATGGATTTATTGAGAGAACACATCGGTGAGCAGATAATGTCACGTTTTGGGCCGGTCCATTGGCCACCAAGTTAGACTTTTGCCTGTGGGAAAACGTCACAGGTATCATTCGCCAGTTACCAGTTAAAATGCTCAAACGAGTCATCGAAAATTGGATTCAACSGATGGTTCATCAGAGACGTAGGCGCGGCCAACATTTAAGAGAGATAATCTTCGAAAAATAAATGCCAAAGAATGTTTCTTCGAATGATAATAAATATTCTCCATTAAATTGAAAGTTTCTGTGTTTTGCTTTAAAAAAGTAGGTATCCT